AGGAGCCATGACGTCTTCTGAACATTTCTTTGACAGGATTTAGTCCGAACATTCGGGGGATTTTATTAAAGGACATCATTATGCTAAGAAGTTCATCATTATGAGCAACTCTTGGTACGTCACCAGGCTCTGATCTTTACACTGAAGTCAAAAATACTTTTCTTCGACCATTTCCTTCATTTTTTTTATGCCAAATTAGTTTTTTTAACCTTAGATTTTCATAGTGGACTATTTTAATGTTCAGATCATCCAAATGACCAAAAAGCTGACTCAGTTCCTCTGACAGTAAAACAGGCCCCTCCCAAAGGATATTTGAAAGTTGCGCAGCCGATAAAGCTGAAACAAACCATATGTCCAAGATGAGAAGCGTTGCTACGATGGCATAAACTCCGTCGCTGAAAGCCTCCACTCGCTCCTTGCTGAGGGGTTCGTTAGGCAGGTAGGTGTAGAACAACATGGAGTCTGGAGTTTCCTCCACCTGACCTGAAATGGACGAGGTTTGATTGGTACAAAGGCCAGAGGTCAGCACTTATTTACAGTTTCTGTACGGTCCGGCTCTTACCGATGGCTTTGCTGCGACACCACTTCAAACACTGGGAGATGTAAGGCAGGAAGATGACGATGGCCAAGAGAACGTAAGACTGAGGAAGAAATGACAACGTGATACTGGGAGAGTGTTTCTGACCAGCTTTGGTTTTGTTACTTTATTCACTGGCAAACAACAAAGAAATGTGAGAGCGGAGATCACCTATAATCATAAAATAAGACATTTATATATTGTCCATTTTTAAAATATGAAGGAACAACATGGAACAGCACCAACCAGCTGGAAGAAGATGAAGGAGAAGATGCTGGCGAAGAAGCACATGATGGGAACCTTCATGATGACTTTGAGGATGTGGTGTTTGTAGAAGGTCTGGTTCTCTGAGATCTGGATCTGCTCATTCAGGAGGAAGGGGCGGCTGAAGGCGTACAACACAATCACCGACTACAGAAACGAGACACACGGGATTACAACGTACGCAAACCGCCCTGCAACGACAGGCTTCAGCCGCCCAACACCTTAAGGCGGATAAATGGTTCGTTGAAGTTAGGAAACTGAACAGAGCAGCAGACTTACCAAAGGATGACAATCTAACATTTAAGTTTCTCACCTGAATGAC